CTCATACCTCGACAACCAAGCAAAACTGCAACTGGATTGTATTGAAATGAATGAGCTTATTTTAAAATAATGTAGCTTATTGCAGGACTAAGGTGCAAAATTTGGCCATTTGGCCCATCATTTAATCTGATAACCATCAACTCCACTTTCCTGCCTTTTTCCCATAACCCTGGATTCCCCCTACTGATCCAGAATGAACCTGGTGAACTTTACTAAATAAAATTCGAAATGAACTGCAGATGCTGTAAAATCAGGAACAAAAACAGAAGTTGCATGGAAAAGCTCAGCAGGTCTGGCAGCACGTGAAGAAAAAAAAAAAAATCAGAGTTAACGTTTTGGGTCCAATGACCCTTCCTCAGAACCTCGGGTCACCGGACCCGAAACTTTAACTCTGATCTTTTCCTTCACAGATGCTGCCAGACCTGCTGAGCTTTTCCATGCAACTTCTGGTTTTGTTGCTAGTGAACCTTGTTTGACTGCCTCAAATGCCACTATATCTTTTCATAAGCAAAGGAACCAAAACTGTTCACAGTATTCTAGGTGTGGTCTGACAGTGATCAGACATCTAACTTACCATTAATTTTTTGGAACCATCTCTCAGTTAAAAAACAAAATCAAGTTTGCAGTAGGGTTTGGTTGGAGCAGTAGCTGTATATAGTCAGAGATATATTGCATGGAAACAGACCCTTCAGTCCAACTTGTCTATGCCAACCAGATATCCTAAATTAATCTTGTCCCATTTGCCAGCATTTGGCCTATATCCCTCTAAACGCTTCCTATTCAGATACCCATCCAGATGCCTTTTAAATGCCATTTCCTCTAGCAGCTCTTTCCACACACACACACCACCGTCTGCACGAAAAAGTTGCCTCTTAGGTCCCTTTTAAATCTTTCCTCTCTCACCTTAAACCTATGCCCTCTAATTTTGGAGCCCCCCATCCCAGGGAAAAGACCTTGGCTTTTCACCCAATCCATGCCCTTCATGATTTTATAAGCCTCTATAAAAGGTCATCCCTCAGCCTCCGACATTCCAGGGAAAATAGCCCGAGCCTACTCAGCCTCTCCCTATAGCTCAAACCCTGGCAACATCCTTGTAAATCTTTTCTGAACCCTTTCAAGTTTCACAACATCCTTCCTACAGCAGGTAGACCAGAACTGCATGCAGTATTCCAAAAGTGGCCTAAACAATCTCCGAACAGCTGCAACATGACCTCCCAATTCCCATTCTCAATGCACTGACCAACAAAGGCAAGCATACCAAATGCTTTCTTCACTATCTTGTCCACTTTCAAAGGAACTATGAACCTGCTTTCCAAGCCACTTTGTTCAGCAACACTGCCCAGGACCTTACCATTAGGTGTTTAGGTCCTGCCCTGATTTGCCTTTCCAAAATGCAGCACCTCAAATTTATCTAAATTAAACTCCATCTGCCACTCCTTGGCCCATTGGCCCATCTGATCAAGATCCCATTGTACTCTTGAGGTAACCTTCGCTGTCCACTACACCTCCAATTCTGGTGTCATCTGCAAACTTTTATGTTTACAGAAACCTATTTTTACACAGCCGAAAAGCACTTTCCAATTCGGAGACAACACTAGGAGGACCTACTTTTTAAAATTTGTTCAGAAAGTAGGCATTGCAAACGAGAACAATATTTTTTGCCCATCCCAATTACATTTGAGGTGGAGCCTGAATTACTTTAACCATTAGGTGTAGGTACATCCTCAATTCTGTTAAGAAAGGAGTTCCAGGATTTTTACCCAGCCAATTAAGGGAACAGTAATACAGTTCCAAAAATCAAGATGGTGTGTGGGTTATTTTCCATCCTTGTCCTTCTGGGTGGTAGAGCTCGAGTTTTTCAGGCAATTTCCACCTTGCTGGGTAAGTGCCAGAGCTATAATATACTAGAATAGCTTGGCTAGGGGCAGGGCTAATTTTGGAACACAGGTTTTCAGTTAAATTGGGACCATAAACTTTGCAGTATCTAGTGCCTTTGGTTTTTCTTGATATCATGTGGAGTGAATTGGCAGTGATAGAGGACCTCAGGAGACAGGCAAATATCGATCATCTACTAGGCCATAGGCTATGCTGGCTGTGAAAGTTTAAAATGCTTCAGTCTTGTCATTTGCATTGATGCGCTGATCTGTCACACCTTGCAAGATAATGATATTTGTGGAGGTTCTTTCTCCAGTTAGTTAATCATCAGAGTCATACAGCACAAGAAAGGCCCTTCAGCCCATTGAGTGTGCACAGATAATAACTACCACTAAAGGCATACTAATCCCAATTTTCTGTACTTGTCATAATGTTTAAGGATATGGAACATTTCAAAACAATCAATATATTTTTAAGAGATTGTAAGGTTTCCGACTTCTACTACCTTCCCAGGCAGTGCATTCCAGATTTCCACCAGCCCAAGTGAAAAAGATTTTTCTCAAAATTCCTTCCATCTCCTGCCCTTTACCCTATTATCCCAACAAAGGGGCACAGCTATTCTTTGCTCACCCTATCCATACCCCTCAATCATATCCCCTGTCCCTCCCAATTATTCTCTGCTCTAAAGAAAACAATTCAAGCCTATCTACTCTCCTTATGGCTCCATTGTTCCATCCAGGCAACATCCTGGTGAACCTCCTCCATAACCCCCTTCATACAGTGAGGTGACCAAAACTGCACACAATACTCCAGCTGTGGTCTAACCAACACTCTGTACAACATCAACATTACCTCTTTGCTCTTGTACTCTATGCCATAATGTTGGTTGTGCCATCACAAAGCAGAAGTAGTATGCAATAGAGCAATTTGACACAATAGTTCTGTGTTGGAGCTTCACTAACTCAAACCGCTTTAGATATGGCTGGTGCTGCTCCTGGTACGCTCTCTTACAGTCTTCATTCAATCAGAGTTGGTTCCCCATCACAAACATCAGTGGAGTGGAGGATATGCCAGGTAACAAAAAGTCTCAGATTGTAACTGAATACAATTCTGCTGGTGCTGGTTCCCAGTGTCTCATGGGTGTCCAGTTTTGATTTTGTAGAACTGTTCAAAATCTCTCCTGTTCAGTACAGTGGTGGTGATGAACTTCATTTTCAATAGGAGGACAGAGCTTTGGCTAAGCAAGGACTGTGCGCTAGTTACTCATACCAATACTTCCTTGAACAGATGAAACTGCAACAGACAGATTGGTCATGCCAACAAGTAGGTTTTTCCCTCTTCTTGGTTTCCTCATCAGCCGTAGTAGACTCAGTACAGCAATTAAGCGCTCAACTAGCTTGGTCAGCTGTTACCAAGCCACAGGTGGCAGCCGACTTTGAAACTCCTCACCCAGAAAACATTTTTTGCCCTGTCACCCTTACTGCTTCTTTCAAAGTCATTTGCTGCAAAGAGGAATATTAATTAATTAGTTCCCCACATTTGTGATAGTAATCAGCAGACTATTTCCTTATCCATGTTTCACTTGATACAAAATGAAACCTCACGGAGTCAGAGTCATGTTGAGGCCTCTCTAGCAATTCCATTCTGACTTACTGCCACTTCTACAGACCCAAGGATAATGAAGGAGTTTAGAATATTGCAAAACTACATCAGGCTGTTCCATGCCTAGCATGTGGAATAGCTCTCTCAAATTTTGCTACTGGTTTTTCCCCAGATGTCAGTAAGGAAGAATTAGTAGGGTTGATGAGTTGGGGTTGCTGTTGTCACTTCCATTGTCTTGGCTGATACTAAGCATTCTGTTTTCATTCCTTTTAAAAAAAAAACTTTCCTTTAGCACCTTGATGCAATCAAGTGACTAGTTCACTATACTTCAACAGTCCAGTTAGCAATGTGGTTGATCTTGTGTGTGTCTGGAGCCATATATAGGTCAGATTAGGCAAGGATAGCCAATTTCCTTCCCCCAATGGTTTTCCTAACAAATTGAAAAATTCATGTTAATTCCTCTGGATTACTAGTACCAACGACATTATCACTACACTACCTGCTCACAAAACAAAACTGTCAACAAAATATCAAGGAAACTGGAGATGCCAAGGTCTGCTGTTGTGGATCTCAAATATTCTTACTGCTGACTGGATTGTCAGAACAAAGTTGCCTCCAGGGATTTCTTTTGGAAATCCCAGACCCGAACAAGTTTCAACCTCTTCTTCTTTGTCTTTGTGCTAGAAGGAATAGAGGCAAGGTTCAAGAAAATTGCATCCAATCGTCCAAAATACTTAAATTAAAACCGGCTCTAAAAATTATAACTGGGCCTTAAAATCATACATAAATATGATAAATACACAATTAGGACAGTCAGAAAATCTTTAGGCTGAAAAATTTCAATAATATTAGAAGCGAAATCAACTGATTACTATAATCTGCAAATTTATTGTCAAAGATGTTAATAAATTAAAGAAATCAAAGTGGTAGCTCAACTCCACCCACAGATTTGCAGGTAATGAGCTCAGTCCTCACACTTCAATGCAGCAATGAAGGAATTCTCACCCATTGGAGTGCTCTTTCAAAATAAGTCATTAAAACATGGCTTCACTTGATCGCCAGACAGATTTCCTCAATGCCAGAGAGTATTGCAAACAAGAGTAGATTTTCTATATGACAACCCAACATGGAGCTCCAAACACTATCAAAATGTAATGGCTGTGCACAAATTAATTGTAATATTTGCTTTTATAACAGCTGTACACTTCAGTCGTTCATTACACACGAAATGTTTTGTGACAGTTTAGGGTACAACATGTGCTGCATACTGCTAATTTTGTTGTACTATAATCACTGAAAGAGACAATTATACATAGATTTGAGAATATAGGAACATCAGAAGTTTTGATCCGACATAATTTACTTTTCTGTGGTTAGTAGTGTAATGTGACAGGATGCTGAAACCTCCAAATCACCACAAGGAGATTCCAGGATTGCATTTTAAGAGTAAATTAAAAATAAAGTATAAACTCTGGTTAAAAAGGCCTGCAATATTTTACACATACGTACAAAACAATTAAAAATAGTGCTAGAATAATATTTTATTAAGAGCATAAAATGTTCAATCAGCATTCACATTTCCCCAGAAACAACTTCTTCCTCCACATTTTTGAATGTTACTATACAACCATCTAGAGGTGGGTTTTTTTCCCCCCCCCCCCAGAAGCATTTAACCATGTGTTAGAGACGTTTTCTGCTTCCTGGCACACATCAGCTCTCTGATCCAATATTCTGAGTGCTAATTTTCCTCTCCAGATTCTCCACAATTGCTTTCAATTTATCAGGGTCTTGGAAGAAATAAACATATAGAACTCTCTCGCCTTGAAGACTCAAGTTGCTTGCCAGAATTTGCCGTTTTGATTTAATATTATCAGCTATATTCCCAATAATTTGGGGCAGTCTCTGCAGTTGACATTCTAATCTTTGAAGAGGTTCTGACAGTTCCTTCAAAATAAACAGACAATAAAAGTTTAGATTGGTATCAGTGAAAACTAATTAAAACACTAATTTTTAAAAAGTGGAAATATGTACTTAAACAGTGTTAGTCCGGTCACATTTTGCTGCTCACTTATCCAAAATGCATTTAGAACTTTCTATAGGTCAATTTGCATGGTCAAACAGAAGAACAGAAAGACAGGGTGTGCACACAAGTATCAAACACTATTAGGTCAAAATGTCTGAAATCTACCACAAACACGGAAAAATTACACCAGTCTTTTCTCCATCCTGTCCCCACCTCAGCAGCTTCTCTAACCACCTAGATTAGGGTCTTTTTTTTTTTAAAAATGATGTTGAATCACATCTACATAGAGAGAGTGAAGCACAAGGAGCAAACTAGTTCCAAGTGCTTGGCTTTGCGAATAATCATGTCCCAGTAGGAAAATGACAATATGCAAACTAAATAGCAGTCAAGTTAGCAAGTTTTCAAAAAATAGTTTAGTAACAAAGTAACATCTGGATGTTCCCAAATAGAGATCAACGTCCTTAAACACTTCTGGTAAAATGAACTGCAATTTATAAACCGATTACTGGTTTTGTTCAGACAAATTATTCTCTCACGGTACTCGGAACTCATTTCAAATTTTCATACAAAATGTACTTTTGAGTATAAGAACCTAACCAACAGAAACCCACAGAATATTCATTGTCAAATTAGTATCTAAATGGCAACAGTACTTCCTTAAATACAGGATTCCTGGTTATTTTTGCATCAACTATTGTAATGAAAATTTACACTTCGCCATAGGAAAAGAGCTAACAAAGTCGCCTGTGTATAAAAACAGGCCTAGGAACAGAAATGGAAATTTCGTTGACACTCTGGGACTTGCTTATAGTTATAAAATATTAAAGTCTAAATGGGAAATGATGGGTTCATTAATATCCAAGCAATGAACCTTATTTCTTCAAAAAATGTTTGTTCTACTTTCAGCATCTATCATTAAAAGTAAACAACTTAACTATCAATCTTTATCCATGACAAAGTCATTGTTTAGGATTCAAGTTTTAAGTTATAGTGTAACTGCCCCTTCCTAAGTTTACTTGGTTGCATAACCATTGGAGTTAGACTCTGTAGAAATTTTGCAAGGTACAGACTGTTGTGATCCGTCTGCAGAATCAATGGATGTATTCCTGATATTCATCCAAATTTTCTGAAACATTTTCATTCAAATCTAGAGAACACTTCACAATGGCTTTTGGATGGAGATATCAAATAACTGTCCCCACCATTTTGCCACACTTAGCCAATTCAACCACTTCTCCTATGCTGATCAAAATTGTACGCACAGACAAACTGAGCATGGTGTTTAGAATTAAATAGATCACATGGAAAGTTACCTCACAATGAAGCAGAAGCTGCTTGGAACTGGAATACATAACACTCCGGAGTCTCTCAATATCGGACTCCAGTGCAGACAAAAGGTAAGAGTGCTCACGCTGGGTTGTTCCCAATTGTTCCTTTAATGAAATAACTTCTTGCTGTAGATTTCTGGCTTCCTGTTCCAGACCACTGAATGTTCTGAACAATTGCTGTTGTTTGTTGTCTACGTCAAAAATCTGACAGAGCCTGAAATGAAGAGATGAAAAGTTTTAGAGGTAATACATATAGATCAGGAGTAGGAAAATAAACCCACCAATTAATTCTGCAGCAAGCAGATTTCTGGTAAGATCTAAATTCTTAAAGTTAATTTTCACATTGCTCCTCCAATGCCAAACCCACACCTACTGCCGCCAACCAGAATAAATGAAATTCATAAAAACTTTTTTTTTTGCCTTTTTCATTGTGGACTGAAATGGTTAGGACTGTTTAAAAAGTAAGGGATTGCTGCACTTTTAAAAGCAAGCTACCTGCACATATTGTTAAGCATTGGTTACATTATCATTTGTTCAACCAGTGGGGTGTAGGGGTGGGGGAATGTTTAGTTGCAAATAAAAAGGGAACCAAGGAGTGTGCATAAAATGAGATTCAGTTGACAGTAAGTAGTTGACCAGTGTGGGGTTTGGTGACCAGCCATAGATGACAAAGGCCTTCAGCCTGTCAACAACTGTGACTGGCTCTCAGGTAGTCAAACAGCTTATTGATATAAACAAAAATACCCAGAGGCCCTACAGTCCTCCAGAAAGGAGGCTGATGGGCATCCTTTACTCTACAGTGAAAAAACACCTAAAGCCTGAAGAACACGCATTTATCTTCCCTCACCAGTTTATGCAACTTGTTACTGTTGACAATAAATCAGAGACTCAAAGTTGCGAAGCTGCCACTCTCTCACCAAGTACTGGTTTGTGGGAGACAAAGATTGAGAAGCAAGTGCCAGAAAGGCAAAGGACCTTCTCAACAAATCTCGTGGACAGAGGCCATTGAACTACCTTCCCAGTTTTTGCCTCAACAAATCATATTAATGTTTCTTTGCACATCTGCAGCTGCGTCCATGTGTATGCTTTTTTTTTTCCCCCTTTATTCATTCACAGGATGAGGGCATCACTGGCTAGGCAGCTTTTATTGCCCATCCCCAATTGTTCAGAGGGCAGTTAAGAGTCAACCACATTGCTGTCGGTCTGGAAGTCACATGTATGCCAGACCAGGTAAGGATGACATCATTGGGTTCTCATTTTTGGTGCAGAACAACATGTACAGTACAAGGGAAAGTAAATAAGTCAAATAACAGGCTCCACTCTAATAGAGAGTAGCCAATGATTACAAGGGTAAAGAAAGACTGCTGATTTACTATGTAGTGAAAGCAATGAGGGGGATGCAGAAAAACAAAACAAAAGAAAACTGAACTTAGAAGAGATTCTTTCCCCCTACATATTTAAGAACAGATTTAAGAACAGCTTCTTCCTTGCTGTTATCAGACTCATGAACAGACCTCTGATATTACAGTTGCTCTTTCTCTGCACCTTCTCTGTAACTATCATACTATATTCTGCATTCCTGAACTATGTACTTAAAGCTTGATTTGTCTAGTTAGCACACAAAACAATATTTTTCACTATCTCAATACATACAAAAATAATAAATCAAAACATGGCACTTCAGTGCAGAGCTGAGGGGTAACTACACAACTGAAGGTGTCACCTGACAAATGAAGTATTAAACACAGTTCACCTTCCTTTTCAGGTGGCCATCACAGAATCCATGAAAAACAGATTTCTCCTGGTCTAACACCATTCTTCCCTCAAAACCATCTACAAAAACAGATTCCACTTGCCATGTATTCTTTTGTTACTTGTGAGACATTGCTCAACATAAAATGGTTTCCACATTTACTTACATACAACAGCTAATCCAGCTTCGAAAGTACTACAACAAATTGGCACTACATCAAAGGCTGTCTCTGTGCATTAATTTCAGCAACTAAAAAGGGTAACTTTACGCTAACCCTCTAATTAAGTTTTGGTTTAAAAAGAAAACATTCTATAGAAGATGAGCTATGTTGTCAGCAGTTATTTTCCAGTATTGCTATGGCTTTACTCACAGTAAACAATGTGGTTAAATCTTGATTACACAAGGAAACAGCCAAGTCAGTCAGTTTGTGGACAATTACAGATGGGCATCAAATGCTAGCCTTGTCAGTGAGGCCTACATCTCGAGAGATTAAAGGAAGACAGTGTTTTTTTACCATGTAATATAATCTCCAGTCATGAATGATAATTGAATGAGTCAAATTGAAGTTTTAAATTAGTGCCAAGAGCATCAGTAGTATTTTAATGCCCGAATTACACAACGTCCTTAAATGTAACTTGTTAAGTTTTGCATTCTCATTGCTCAGGTATTCAATTTTATCTTTTATATTTAAAAGTACTGCACAGAAGGTGCACAGCTTAATGGATATTTTGGTGGGTAGGGAATGTATGCATTTTGTTAGTGCTAAATTGAAAAAGATGCTGGTCTGCAGAATTAATGTTAGCTGAGAATGTCAGCTGGTCCGGCAGCTTGCGACATTTTGACACTGGTTAGTAGATGGATTACAAACTGTTCTGAAGGTGGCCTACTGGGCTTGAAACGTTAACTCTGTTTTCCCTCCACAGGTGCGATCAGATCTGCTGAGCTTGCCAGCAATTTCTATTTTTTAAAATCCAGATTTCCAGCATCCCCAATTCTTTGTTTTAGTTCAGTTCAGAATATGTTTATACAAGAAATTGAAAAGCAATGACAACAGAATAGTGGGATGTGTCAGAAGAGTGGTAGCTTGATCTGGAAACACACAAGATGCTAGGAACATGGGAGTGGAATGCAACCCTGAGGTCTGGGAAGACAGTTCCTGAAGTATTCAGGACAGCAAGGCACAAGGGAGTGTCAATGTAGAAAGTGACTGCAGATTATTGAAGTAGTCAGCTTCCAGAATGTTCCCTACCTAAAAGTTTTTGAAGTATTTGAAATAAATCAGGATCACAAGTACTTTTCACACTGACTGAGCAATATCCTTTTCCTAATTTAGTACGGCATAGCATGGTCTAATGAAACCTGAATGGTTGTACGTGCAATGAAGAATGCTTGTACCCATAAGAAACTGTCAATATGAAATTTTAAAGCAGTTTCATAGGAGTGATCAGTTTACCAGCCCTTATTAGATTTAAAGCAGTGTGTTTCACTGACTTTGGAAATCACATGCACCCAGAAAGACATGCTGCACAGGTACTAACTTGAAAAGTTTGTGGACTTAGTTGAAAACTTACCTGCAGCATGTATTTATTCCAAGATATCACTTCACTAACCAGTAGGTCTACAGTGTCAAAAAGCAATTATACAGGAAATGCTAGAAAGAATTGAAAGGCCAGGCCACGTCTTACATTTTGATGGCAGGTGATCAAAATGAAGTGTTACACAGCACTTTTCTCTCTCTATGAACATTAGAGATCGGGTGAGTATTTTCCAAGTATTTTCTACTTAAGATTTGTTGTGAATGTGCGAGTTAGGAGTTGGACATTTGGATCCTCCCATCTTTGTGACATACGATTTTTATATCTAATGTCACACCAGCACCAAAATTCATATACTATATTATTCATTTGTGTCATAGGCAGACTATCTTTCTGGCTTGACAACAGGTTCTCGTTAGTGGCAAAAACCATTCATACTGTTGCTGCATAGTAATGACCTATGTATCTGGCATCTTATGTCCCACATACATCAAACCACATAATCTGTTCCAAACAAGTAAGGTCCTGATGGCTCCCAAGCAGACTGCACTTGCAAAATCCACAACAATATTCAATATTAGAAGTAATTCTGAAATTGGACAACATTTGCTGAATAGTCTTCAATGTGTAAAGAACAACACAGACAACCAAGGTAGGGTTGCTAGTCAGACTCTGTGTGGCACACTTGCAATTACTGAAAAGTACTTATATTGATACAGAGGGCCCCGTTTTTTGCAGACAGAAAGAACATATACACTGGACTGTTAATCCAGAGATCCAGATTCAAATCCTGCTACGGTGAATGGTGGAATTTGAATTCAATAAATATCTGGAATTAAGAGTCTAATGATGGCTGTGAATCCATTGTCGATTGTCAGGAAAACACCCATCTGGTTCACTAATGTCCTGTAGGAAAGGAAACGCCCATCCTTACCTGGCCTACATGCGACTCCAGACCCATAGCAATGCGGTTGACTCAACTGTCCTCTGGGCAATTTAGGGATGGGCAACAAATGCTGCCTGGCCAGTGACACCCTCAGCCCGTGAATGAATAAAGAATAAGAATATCTATACCTCTTACAATTCAACAAAATAGGCGATGGCCATTCGCTGGTTCATTTTACAGGGTAATGCCCTAACTAACCCAAGTCAACCTTCCTGGCTCAAAAGTTTAACAAGACCTAGCTGTTATATGTCAAATCAATATTAAGAGGTGCATACTTAATGACAACACCTCTATCAATTAGAATCCATTTGCCAACCAATCAGCATTCTCCTCACATGCAGCATAAACAGAAAGAAAACAGAATTAACATTTCGGGACCAGTGGCCCTTCTTCTAACGGCACTCAAAATGTTAACTCTGCTTTCTCTGCAAAGGTGCTGCTAGACTTGTTGAGTTTTTCCAGCAATTTATGATTTTGTTTGATTTCCAGCATCCATAGTCCTTTGGATTTTTGTGCACCATTAAAGTTGGTTTTCCCCTCGAATTGGTATTTTTACAAAATAGTCTGGTGACCACAAGACGAGAAGTTTCAACAAAATGTGTTTTTTCTCAGCAATACTCAAGGTCTCAAAAGTTGAGAAAGTCAACTGAAGAGATCACTGATAACTGGGAACAGGCTGCTCAAATACAGAAGGATTACTTTGGATCAAGGGGCTAGGCAAGTGCAGGTGACTTTCCTCTTGTTAAATTACATGAAAGTGGGAAAGGATAATAACCAATGTTAAAACAAGCCAATTAATGTTTTACTTTAGAACACAATAAGTGACCAAGTCAGGGGCTATTTTAGCAGGCTGCTGACAACCACAGGAAGAGTATTAAGCACTGGAAATAACCTAGAATCACCTAAAAGTGGTATATGTACCATTCATATGATTCTATTAAGAGACATTGAGCACTGGACTGGAAAGCAAGACAAGACTG